TTCTTTTTATGTTTTTTCTTTTTCGCAATCAGTGTTTCTTTTTTCTTTTCTGTTTTTTCTTTTTTTCTAGTTGTTTTTATAACTCTCTGTTAAAAATTTCTTCTTTTTGTCTCGTGCCCCTTGAGAAGAAGGAAGAATTAGAAGGGAAAAAAGAGATCCTAACACGGTATACAACATCCGGTCAAATAATCGAGGGGAGTATCCTTTGTCGATATGAAATCTGAAGCAAGTTTTGGATTCCCTTGTGAGGCTAATAGTTGTTTTAGCAGATCGCATTGGGCAGTACTTTGTATGCTTGGTGAGTTTCTATTAGAATAGAGCATTATACTATGTTGGGAGTTACTTATGTAATAATCGTATAGTAGTTCATAAAATAAATAGAAGCAGGATTGCTTAAATTTAAAAAAAAAAACATACTGTGCAATAACTAATAATTTCTAAAAACACTAATTATTAAGCTTGTATAAGTCTTATAACTTGCTACAAGGTGGGAAAATATAATAAAATATTATAATATTCTAGCCAAAGAAGAAAATATTAGCAAGAAATTTGCAAAAGATATAGCAAAACCCATAACAAGTGAATTATTATAAACAATGTTATGTGTTTTATCTAGATAAAAGAGAAGTAAAGAATAGTATAGTGTTAGAGAACTTTTAATTAGAAATAGAAAGTAAAAAAATTTGTTAAAATAATAAAATTACTATAGCAATAGTTCAAAACTCAAATATTTTAAAAAATACATAATATAACAAAACTTTAATAAAGAAAATTATAAAGAATATCATTCATTTTATCTAATAGAAAATAAGAAAAAGAGTAGTGTAATATTAGATAGTATCTAATTAGAAATAGAAAACAAAAAGATAAAAAACTATTCTAATAATTGCTTAGCCTCATATGTAGTAAAAAAAAATCAAAGAATAAAAGCATATATTATAAATATATATATATATATATAAAGACTTGCCTTCGTTGAAGTTATCAATTTTTATATAATCTATGTGGTATACAGTCAACTCTGAATATAACGAACCTTTTTATAACGAACTCTGGATATAATGAACCCAAATTTTCTAAATTTTAATATTAGTTCGGTATAACAAGAGCTATGGCTATTAAGAAAACATAGTAATTCTATATAATGAACTTTTTTTTTGGCCAGAACCAAGAGTTCGTTATAGAAAGAGTAGACTGTATTGAATTTTTATAAAGTGCTTCGAATCAAACTTTTTAATTCCATAACCAATTTGTATTAAATTTATATAATATATAGTTTAAAATAGCTTGTTTATAATAATAAAGTTGTATAATATATATTGTTTTTAAAAAAATCAACTTTATATATAATTAAAAATTTTTCTCAACACTATATGTTTTCTTCTGGTTATACAAAAAAATGCTAATTATGATTGGTCAAATCATGTATTGTTTATATATAAATCATATGATACTATATAATATTGGTTATACAAAGTTGATCTACAATTTATTTTATATAAATTTAAAAATAGTTACATTTGCCCTTAAATTAAAGTATCAAAATCGTCTATATTTATAAATCTAAAACTCAAAAAACCATTATATTTATTGTTATAAAAAATATCTAACAACCCTAATAACAACCTTTCTACTTTACCCAAGTCTAATAAACTAAAATTACAAAAAGTAAACATATATGATCAAAGCATATTCACAAATATTGTTATTACTGGTTTAATAAACAATATTGTTGAGTGTGCTAGTAAATCATCTACTAAAATACCTTCATCCAATAGTAGTAATAGATTTGAATTCCAGAACAATATCGAGTCTAAATTGCAAAAATCTGAACTTACACTAGATAGTCAAAAGTTTGAATTAGAATCATACGAGGAACCTGAGTTTCAAGAAGAATTTGAACTTACACTAGATAGTCAAAAGTTTGAATTAGAATCATATGAGAAACCTGAGTCTCAAGAAGAATCTGAATCTAAATTAATAGGAAATTTGAACCTAAACCTGAATCTCAAGAAATAAACATGAATGAATATATTAAAATTTATACTCATCTTGATTTAAAATCATATAAAGACTTGATTAAAAATATTCTTCCAAATATTGCAGAAGCTAAATTACCATTATAAAGACAACTGTATAACCTTAGAATATAAACTAAATAAAAGATATCTATGTTCATTTTTATAAGAAATCAAGGTCAATAGCTGGCACAACAAAGCGAGCTGTTAAATCTTTATCCAATTGCAGCCATTCTCCAGCCAGTTCAAAAACTATCAAAAAAAAGGCTATAAATCCTTTATATATATACTAAAACACTATAATGAAGGAGGTGATAATATTCAAGTTATATATTACATACTACATAGTGGATATAATTTGGGTATTGCTGAAGATCTACGTTGTTTTAATATATCTTATCAGGCCAGAAAATAGATTTGTGGAAGGGCAAAAGATAAAATGAAGCCTTTCCAAATCATGCCAATGCTTTACTAGCATATTAACTATATTTATAATACTAAAGATTTGAAATCTTTATTTTTAATACAAAAGTGTAATTTATATATTTCCTATATAGATATATATAATATAGTTAGTAAAGAAATGAAAGGAGTCAAGTTGTCACCCTCTCCAAGTAGCAGGTCTAGGGTTCAAATCCCACGGACTACGAAAGTTTGAAAAATAGGCTTGCATTACAGTAACAGATCTTCATTAAGTTGGGGCTTAGATTAATCTGTAACTTCGGGTCACACCAATGCTCTGTATTGGAAAGTT